TTTATATGAGAGACAAAAGACTCAGAATGAGGAATGCAATATTTGAAGGAGGATAAATTTCGAGGACTGTCAGTACCTGACTTCAAGAATTACTATAAAGCTACAGCAACCAGGATAGTTTGTATTAGTGGAAGAATGGAGAAATGTATCAAAGAGACAAAATCGAGAGCTCAGAAACAGACCCGCAGAAACTGACAGAGGAACAAAGGAAAAGTAATTGGGAAAAGATAATTTTAAATCCTTTCACAACAATTAACTCAGAATGGACAACGGACTTAAGTGAAGAGTACAAACGATATTTCCCACAGAGGTGACTCTGGAGAAAGCCTACACCTTCTGAGATTTGATGATGCCTTTTAAGATGCAATTTGATGGGTATAATCATGAAGGTATAATTGATTGGTTACATTCCATTATGACCAAGAACTTCAGCTGTATAAATGACACTCTCAGGAGAATGAGAAGCATCAGATAAGGAGAATGAACTCGTCAAAGGTATATCTGCTAAAAATAAACAAAAGAACAGATCAAACCCGAACAAAAACAGCCTCTTAAAATTGCTTAGTATGATGCCTTGAATGAGAACTGTCTCCCACGGCCTTAGTTATTTCGACACTTGGTCAACAGTTGATGGTGATATTTGGGAAGGCTTAGGAGGTGCAGTTTTGGTAGAGGAAGGAAGTCACTGGGGATGGGTTTTGAGAGCTTATGATGTAGCCCTACTTCCAGCTTGACTTTCTGCTTCATGCTTGTGGTTGAAGATGTGAACTCTTAGGGGCACAGCCATATCTGAAGGGAATGACAACAGTCAGAAGGCCAGCACAGCAGCTTGACAAAGATCCAGCAAAGCTGTGCCACATGATGGCAGCTGTGCCACCTTTGGTTTTGATCTCCACCAGTTGTATACTTGGGGAACTTTTAATATTTGTACAATTTTGCGATATTGGATTGATAGAAAAGTTCTTATGAATCATTTATGCCTTCCCTCAGGACTACTTTTTCTAAGCTTCCCCAGAAAAGTCCTGAACATACTACCCCTCCCACTTTTGGGGGAGATATCCTTATCTACTGTCACATTCTAGAGTGTGCTTTGGTGATACAGCTGTCTTTGAGTCATTTCTGCTACTGTAAGTGACTCCTCAGCCATATTCCCGTAAAACAAAATAAAACCCAATAAAATTCATGGTTCACTAAGTTGTACTTTGTGGGTATCTGTACTTTGACATGTTGGTTCCCTATCTGGAGTAACTGGACATTTGTTCATGTCTTGCTGAGAATCGTGTCACACAACAATAATCAAGATAGCTGCTTTAGAAGATGACTAAACTATGGTTCAAAAAACTAACACTGTTACCATAGAATTCTGCAATCACATTTTGACATTTAGTCAAGGGCAGTAAAAAAAAATAAAATAAAAACAAACACACACCCTGAACACAGATGTGTATAGCAATTTTATTCATAATTATAAAATGTGAAAGGAACTGTGATATCTTCTGGTACACACACAGCAAAATAAAGCAGCAGCAGAGTATTGTTAATTACTACAAACAAATGAGCAATAAACTAATTTTTTAAAAATGCTCCAAAGAACCTGAAGGCATACCATTAAGTAATAATAGCCAGTCTGATACAGCTGAATTCAATCATATTACATTATGTAAAGGTGTAACTGTGGAGATTATAGGAAGATTACTGGTTGGTGTGGTTGGGTAAATGGATAATGTAGCAGAGCAAATGTAATTTTTAGATACAAAAAAAAATTTATGTCATTGTATGTGTGTTTAAATTTGCAGAAGATATAACTCCCTGAAGGAACACAAATGTCAACAAGGAACTTTGAGCAATCCTATATGTCAAGACACATGCATCAGTTTTTAAAAGAAGTACTGACCTAGTCGGGGTCATTGATAAGAGGAAGGCTACATATGTGCTGTGCAGAGGATAATGACAAGATTTGCATCCTTCACTCACATTGGTCTAGAAAAGAAATTGGGAATAAAGGCAGAAAGGGAGAATTTTACCCTTGTCTTCTTTTGGTTTGAGGTGATAATACAATAGTTTTGTACTATAGAAGGAAGGATGTTTACTGTGGTACAGAGGTACAAGAATCTGAAGAGCAGAGAGAATGAGTGGTAAGCTGTCTGGAACTTAGGTAGCTCAATGCAAAGGTTGAGAGAGTATCACCATGTATCAAAGCATATTGCCATGTGACTTCATTATCTGCTTCACTCTTAGACATTTGTACCCACTAGATCTGTGGATGCCAGTCATGTGTGTGGGTTGTGCACATCATGGGCTTGATTAAGTGTGAAAACCTGATGAGTGACTCATGCTGATTGAATTGCTATGAAGATAAATTTTCAAATACATAGAGAAAACAGAAGTAAATAGTCCAATGACAAATTCTAAACTTTCCATAGAATCTCACAGTTACTAACATTATATAAATCCACTTACTTTAGTGATTGATATAAGACAGAGTTGAGATGATAGGATGTTCAATAAGACTTTGCTCCCCAACTGTGGTGGTTTAGATGGGAATGTTCCCCATAGCCTCATGTATTTGAATGCTTTGTCGCCTGTCAGTGAAACTGTTAGGGAAAGACTAGGAAGTGTGGCCTTGCTGAAGTAGGTATCACTAGGAGTGGGCTTTGATATTTCTAAAGCCCATGCCAGGCCCAGGCGCTCTCTCTCTGTCTCTGTCTCTCTGTCTCTGTCTCTCTCTGTCTCTCTGTCTCTCTGTCTTTCTCTCTCTCTCTCTCTCTCTCTCTCTCTCTCTCTCTCTCTCTCTCTCTCTCTCTCTCTCTGCTTCCTGTAAATCTCTGAGCTAATGCTACAGTGCCATGCCTGTCTGTTTCCCACTATGGTGATCATGGACTAACTCTAAAACTGGAAGCAAGGTTCTAATTAAATGCTTTCTTTTATAAGAGTTGCCTTGATCATGGTATCATTTTACAGCAATAGAACAATAACCAAGAACAATAACTACAAGCTTTGAGTCCTAGGACAGAAACATTTTTGGTCAACTTGGCATAAAGTAGAGTTACTGGAAAGAGGAACCTCATTTGAGAAAACGCTTCCATCAGATTCCTTGTAAGCAAGTCTATAGGTCTTTGGATCTCGCTCTATAGACCAGGCTGGCCTCGAACTCACAGAGATCCTCCTGGCTCTGCCTCCCAAGTGCTGGGATTAAAGGTTGCACTATCACTGCCCGGTCATCATTTTCTTGGTTGATGATTGACACTAGAGTGCCCAGTCCACTGGGGATGGCGCAATCCTCGGGCAGGCTGAGTAAGCCATTGGAAGCAAACCAGTAAGATCACTCTTCCATGGTCTCTGCTTCAGTTATGCCTCCAGGTTCCTGTCTTGCTAAATTCTGCCCTATCTTCCCTCAGTGATAGACTGTATCCTGGAAATGTTAGATGAAATAAACACTTTCTTTCCCAAATTGCTTTGGTCATGGTTTTTATCACAGAAATAGAAACCTAAGTAAACAAGATATAAAAACAGCCTTTTTTTTTTTTTTTTTTTTTTTTTTTTTGGTGCACCTAAAGCTTTTTTTCCTCATCTGTAAAATGGAGATAATATCTGTTTGATGGAATTATAATAAAGAACAAGTCAATTAGCAGGAATAAAAGAGTAGACTAGCACCTGACACACAGTAAGTGTTCAATAAATGTTAGTCATTATTAACTATTGCTTTTTCTGTCTTCTTGATTAGGCTGCAGGTAACATGCTTTACATAAACATCTAACTCTTGACTCTTAGCCTCTTCTCCTGACATTCTGTAGGGGACATCAATTCACTATACACATGCAAATGAAACCACCCACTGTCACACAGTACAACACCCAGAAGATACATTGCCACTGCCTTGTATTAACCAGTACCTGCTCAGCACTTTCCTTCTGCTTAAACATTACTCAGATATTTCATCAGAACAGACTTTGCCAGAAGTTACTGAAAACAAATAGACTTTACGTTCCCTGGACAAAGTTAAAAGGGACTGATTTTTTATTTACAACATTCTTGCCACTGATTATTATCTCTGGTGTCTGCATTCAGCTACTGAAGACCTCAACCTCAGCTAGGTCAGGAACTTAACCTGCTGGAGGTGCCTACGGTTGATGTCTTGTCTGGACAAGATTTTGAGGCTTTGTCTTGGGTCCATTCATATGTTTTTATTTTTTATTTAAAAAAAAGATTTTCTTTCCTTTTACATACAACCTGTTCCCCCTCCCTCCTCTTCTCCCGCTCCCCCTACCTACTCCCATCCCACCCCCATCCCACTTTTATTTTATAAGGTGAGTGATTAGGGTGGCTTTTCCCCTTTGATGACTTGGCTTCTTCATGTCACACCATGAAGGGAAACCTTTTTCCTGTGTTTGAAGTTCCCTATGTCATTGATTACCCATAGTTTTGTAACAAAAACAAAGGTCAGAATTATTGTTTTCAGATAAGAAAAATTAAAATACTTTATTAAGTTTTCAACTAGATTTGCTGCCAGGTCTATTTATTATTGCCAAATCCTCTTTCATCAGACTATATTCTTTCATTATCAGAATTTTTAAAAAATACTGAGAAAATAATAAGGAAAAATAATTCAGTAGTTTGAGATTATAAAATAACTTATAGGCACTAATCCTGTAGAATTTTAGGTTGATTCTAAAAATATTTTACATATCACACATACACATCTTTTATTTTAACTACATTTGTAAAGATCTCTTGGCTTATCAAGAACCAGTGGGGATATCAAAGTATTTCTAAATTTCCAATATTAATGAATATGCAAATGTCAAAAATATCACCAAAGGAAAACCTTACCCAAATTTAAAGAACTTAAATCAAGATGTAGATCATGTTGTTAAAGTTTTATACTTCAATGAAAGTTCTAACTTGAAACATAATGTTCTTTTGAATAACTTGTTTCCTTCTCTATAAGTAAAAACTCCCTCTTTACTTATCTTTGTTTGGAACTGTGATACTCATCCCACCTTGAATCCATCACAGTGCCTTGTTTTCTCTGGTCTTGAAGGTTGGGCCTCTGCTGTTTTGCTTGAATGCTGAGTTTGGTCCATGATTGAATAGTGGATGTGATGAGAATGTCTGCAATCACTGTTGATAAATACTTCAGTTGAAATGATCACCTACTGAGAGAGAAAAGGTGTCATTTATTTGACTTTCACCATATACAATTTATAAATGAGAAAAACCATGCCAAAGCCAACCCTTCTATCACTGATATGAAACGCTTATTAATTCTCAACCACTGAACCAGGTAAATGCTGGACACAAAATTGAGAAAGAAAAATGCAAAGTTCTAACCTCAGGGAGATTTTTAAATTTAAATCAGTAAATTTATGAAGAAAAATTTAAAACCAATAAGTTCAATATGATTTGTTTATATTTGAAATGAATGAAAACATTAAATTATAGAAACTAGGATTTTGATATCATTCTGCATGTCTAAGTTATATGGCCTAAGAAAGGAAAGCATGCATTAAATTTGTCCTTAAATTTTTATAAAGTGCCAAATAGTGCCTTGCATATAACAGATACTCAAAATAAACAGAAAAAAATCATGCTATGACTTATAACAACAATAGTGTAAGACAGTTTCACAGAGGAGAAGATCCACGGCAAAAGCCGGTAGAGTTAACATTTAGTGAATCGTGTGTGTAAGGTATGTTCCAGGCACCTCAGAGACACAGCCATGTTTGACTTATCTTGAGAAGTCGCATTTATTCTCCAGGAGAAAAGATGACTGAAAACACAAGAGGTTAAAAACAGTCAAAAATCTTCCCTATGTTTTGTCATTGTCTTCCGAGGATTTGATTAAATAGTGTTTTCCTTTATAACAGGGATGGTACTGTATCATCAACACCATTCTGTGCTCCTTTTCCTGCTGCATACATTAAGCATCATCTGTAGAAAAGGGCATCATATGTCCCTTTATACAGAGACAACGGGCTGCATTGGCCATACTGTATTTAACAGTTCCATGTGGATTAGCAACTGGGATGCTCTAAATTACTTCATATGAGAAACAAAATTTATGAATTGCCATACCTATAAGGTAAATTCCTACATGTGCTTGGTGTCAAGTATAAGAGAAACTGTATTTTAAGTGTTTTTTATTACTCCTTTTTTTGTGAGACAGGCTTTCTCTGTGCGGCCCTGGCTGTCATGGAACTAGCTCTGTAGACCAGGCTGGCCGTGAACTCACAGAGATCCACCTGTCTCTGCCTCCTGGGTACTGGGATTAAAGGTGTACACCACCCAGCTTGAATCCCTGTTCTTAAGAATAGGAAAATAAACGTTTTTTCCTTCAGTTAATTTATGTTAACTAACGTGTTTTTCACTAAGATTTAGAAAACATACCCTTGTTTACACATGTGTACATGAAGGCATATTTGTGTATCTAAAATATATATAGATGAAGAGAAATATAAATATGACTTCGGGGATGAGCTCATTATACAGTGTGTTTACTGTGTGGTAAGTGTACAGTTTATTGTCATCATGCTAGTTACAACCTGTAAAGTTGGTTAGACCATAGAATTAGGAAACATCTAAACACTGATTCTAGAGGACACATCAGGGCAGATTCCTGGGCATCTGTGTCACAACAGTTTAACCAACTAACTAATAGGTGACCTTTCTGTTGAAAAGTTCTTTCCTGAGTATATGCTCAAATCATTAACAGTGTAGCAGTAGAGCATAAAATACTAGGCCAAGGCAGCCTTAAGGTTATTTCACACACACACACACACACACACACACACACACACACACACACACACACACACACACACGCATGCACGCACGCACTCAAATGTGTAGGTTTGGTCTCTGTCAGGCACTTTTGAATGAAAGAACCCTTGATGGACTTTGCCATATTTTAAGTAGTGAACTTAGTAACACTGTAACATACAAAACTGCAGAATATTTACAAAACACATTGTGAACAGATCCTGTGTTGACACTCAAATGACAAAGTGTGTCCTCACCTCCTATAACCTCCACCAAGAAGTCGCCTATGGCCTCCACTGTCAACTGGGTGACCCAGGCTTTCAAGCTAGTAACCCACAAAGCACCAGCACTCTTCATTTTGATGTCATGAATAGGAAATTCAATGAAACATAATCTATAAATAAGGAGGGTCAACTGTGTATATTACCCATTAATTTTCTTTTTTCCTTTCCTTGTGTATGAATGTGTGCATGGTCATCTATGTGCAAGTGCATGTGTATGCGTGTGTGTGTGTGTGTGTGTGTGTGTGTGTGTGTGTGTGTGTGTGTGTGTGTGTTGTTAGGGGGATGTCAGAGGATAACCTCAGCTGTTGTTTTTTTCATTTTTTTTGACAGGGAATCTTACCAGCCTGGAACTCACTAAGTAAACTAGGCTAGCCGAAAAAGCAAGTTCCAGGGATCTATCTGTCTCTACCATGAATACTGGGATCATGAGCACATACTACCACATCTAGATTTTTTTTAATGTGGGTTTTGTGGAATGAATTCAGTTGCATGCAGGCTTTACCAGTTTTGCATGAAAGAACCCTTGACTAGACTTTGCCATATTTTAAGTAGTGAACTTGTTAACAATATAACACACAAAAATGCAACATTAGCTCTCTACTTCCCACATATTTTGAAATTTATTCCTGTAGCATTATATTGTAACAAGTGGTTATTGCTGCACTTGGTGGTGTATGCCTGTAATCCTAGCAGTTGTGAGGCAGAGAAGTAGGACTGGCAATTCAAGGCCAGCTTTGACAAACTCTAAACCTATGCAGACCACAGAAATGCATGCCTGTAAACAAATAAGTGAACTACAGTCATTCCATTTTTTTCACGTGTTCCAGCCAACCTAGTGCATGCTTCTGTTCAGCTCCTGAGTGGAGAGGCAAGAGCAGAAAATCGATCGTGTTGCATTGACATTATAAGAAATTCTTCAATAAGTTTTCCAGCATTTTACCATGCATGTCTTTGTTCAATATTAAACATTAGGAAATGGCTTTTACAAGGTAATCTCATGTTGGCATGGCTTGTATAGTAGATTGTCTTGCTTTGCTTTACACCTATGCTTTTCATAGATTCCCAAATCCCTAAAGGCAGCTGTCTCAGCTCTCCCATCCAAGTTCATCCTACAGTGAATCAAGTTCTTTTCCTCCATCCTTGCCTGCCTCCACATACACACTCCATCTGGCCTTAGAATCTTGCAGAGATCCCTATACTATACAAAATACAGTTTATAGTTCCCATCTGGTGTCCTCACAACCTAAGCCCAGCTCTTGTTTATAGTTTTATTTTCAATCCACTCCCAAAGCCCTCTACACATGTAGCCACCACTTCAAGAAGATTGCTCTCCACCCTTTTGAAGTTTCTTCCTAACCTGAAATCTTCCTCATTTACAGGTTGCATATCTTCCCTAATCACCTCTCTTTAATATTCTCATTACTTCCACCAAAACAACTACTCTAGTTCTGTATTCCAGGGATGAATGAATCATTCGAGCATCACAGCATCACGTTCTATATTTCCCCCTCCTTTCCCAGACAGACTAACTCTGCATACTTCTTGACCTTGGGGAAAAATATGCAGAAAAACAGTGGAAAGATAAGTATTTGTTCCAAGTTTCTCATAAACATTAAGCTGTAAACTGATTTATAAGTAACCTGGAGGTAAGAAGGTCAGTCTGGTTTGAATCAGATGACATCATTTTTTGTACCTTGGAACTTAAAGACTCATTTAGAGATGTGGAATGTATTTTTATCTGAATGTGTTGTTTCTTGGTTCTAAAGGCCTAAGAAGAGTATTTCAAACAAAGAACATTTGCAGATGACCACAGACATCTGAATGTACCATGCTAATATTCCCTGAGGAAAACACAGTCTTTCTGGGTAGACTGAGAGGAAGCAGGTCAGAATCCCAATCCCCCGACCTCTGTGCTATATGTCTGCATTTACATGAATGCAACACAGACAAGAGTCAATCTGCCCAAGGAACCGAGGAGGAGAAGGAAAATGGGACTCACTTTCACCTTTCCTGTAGACCTGGGGATCCACATGCTCTATCTTTCTTTGACAGTAAAAATTTTCAATGAGATTTACCAACTCAATTTTTAAATTACCTCTTACTTACTATAACTTGAGACTGTGGAAACCTGAACCATGTCTGTCTCCTGAATGGACTGGTAACAGGTTTTGAAAGCTGCATAGAAGACACAAGCCATACAGCTTATACCATGTACCACAAACACCCCAAATCTTTCCTTTGTATTGGATAGAAATATTATACACTGAAGAAATGTTGAAAGCAGTCCCAAAATATCTTACCTGAACTCAGACTTCTATAGCACTTGTAGCATGGCCAACATTATCTTCCTGGAAAGTTCCTCTTTAAAGTCACTCAGCTTTTTTTTCCTATCAGTCCAATGATGATTAACTATCTTCTCAGGTCACTGTCCTACACAAATTGCACAAAACAAACAAAAATCTAACTAGAAATTCACTCCTGACTCCTGTGTTTCAAGATTTTATTAAAAATTTTTCAGAATTTATACATTATCTTACACTGATACTAAAATAATATGCTTCATTCTTAGAAGGGATTTGCAGTTTTTATTCTGTTGTATTGGCTGTGCATTATTTCTTTTTTTGAGTATTAACACAATTTTACTTTTTTTTGAAACCAAAAAAATTGAATGTTGAATTTACTCCATGCTGTATGCAAGCCAATGAAGTCTTATTATATTTTTTCTATACATGATTAATTGACTTTTCTCAAGCCATTTTCTTCTCTTTTTTGGCACTGTGAATTGTTTACTTTTATTTTTTGCACATTATTTTCTTTGGAAATATAAATACAACATATTATGTGAGGTATTTAAAACTCTTCCCAATGGAAAAGAACCCAATGTAATTTTGAAAAATGAAGGTTGTTTTATTTCCAAAGGAAAATTTGCAGCATTGCTTAGTACCTGGATAGAGTCCTTAAAATATTTTATATAATTATAAAATCATTTTATCATAATGGACTCAAAATAAAAACATTGCACAGCTAGATGAAGGAAGCCT